AAAAAAAAAAAAAATCAGCAACAACAACTACAACACCAGTAATAACCAGACTACCTTAAAGGTAGTAACTTGTCTACCTTTAATAGCAGCAACGTTGACGTTGTCGTCGTCACCGTTACCGTCGACGTTGGCGCTAGCGGTGACGCATGCGTTGACTTCACATGGTAATGTTAATTTTTTGGCTTTGTTTAAAGAAATTCTCTGTAATGTTGTTGTTGTTTTCTCATTTGGAGACGCAATAAATGCTGGGAGGGAGGATTTTTTTCTTTCGATAAAAAAAATATTGGATCGTGAAAAGATACGAAACGAAATTGAAAAGAAACAACGACATGGGTACACCACAGCCGTACGTACCATTCGAACGAACGTATATAATTTGTATGAATTTCTTTAGGAGTTGTTAGCTGAATTGGCATTTAGTTGTTGTTGTTGCTGGACTTGTATGGTAGTGTGATTGTTTTATGAAGTTATGAAAAAAATCGACACTGTGGGGTATTTGAACCAGTAAAGAAAGTCTTAAAGTCGGGCGGGGCCGACTTTATGATACCCTTATGGAAGAATTCAATCATACACGCTATGATTATAATTATAATTTAAAGTTCAAAGGACTAAATATGCCGAAGCATTTGTATCTTTTAAATTCGGACTTGTATTGCCCACTTGGTGCACAATTAATTTGAAATCGGACAAAAATATATATGGGAGCTATATCCAAATCAGAACCGATCTCGATAAAATTTGGCAAAGATATTTCTGAGCTGTATTTGATATATTTCCCTGAATATCGTTGTTACGGAGTGCATATTACGGCTGTGGGTAACAAATACAACAAATCGGATGAACAATATATATGGAAGCTATAGCTATATATGAACCGATCTTCACCAAATTTGGCACACTCGCTTCTAGAGTCAATTCGGTCGTATGTGCCAAATTCCATCCTATTTGGGCAAATATTAGACGTTTGGTGCACAATAAAAGGTAAATCGGTCGAAGTTATATATGGAAGCTATGTCCAAATCTGAACCGATCTCGATAAAAGTTAGCAAATGCATTTCTGAGCTGCATTTGATATATTTCCCCAAATATTGTTGTTACAGAGTGCATATTGTGGCTGCGGAGGACAAAAATAACAAATCGGATGAACAATTTATATGGGAGCTATAGCTATATCTGAACCGATTTCGATTAAATTTGGCATACTAATTTTCAGGCCTAATTTGGTTGCATGTGCAAAATGTCATACTATTCGGGCTGATGTTACACGTTTGGTGCACAATAAAAAAGCAAATCGGACGAAGATATATATGTGAGCTATATCTAAATTTTGACCGATTATCTCCAATTTCAATAGGGTTCGGTCTTGGGCCAAATAAATGATTTGTGCAAAATTTCTTCTGGATAGGGTAATAAATACGAACTGTACTTTGTTTAGACGGACATGCATAAATCGAGTCAGAATGTGATTCTATGCAGATCATCAAAAGGAACTATGGGTCTATCTCGTTTCCTTTTGCCTGTTACAAACAAATGCACAAAGACATAATACCCTGACCACCTTGTGGTGTAGGGTATAATAATTAACAGGCTTTCGATCTAAATCTGGTTAAAATATTGAATTTTTTTGAAGAAATCGGAGCATTACCTCTAAAACCAATTCGAATTTTGTTTTGATATCACCCGCATACTTGTACATAAGGACATGATAACAGGTTAAAAAGTATCAGTCGGTTTTGCGACAGATGTATACCCTTAGCCAATATTCGATTATTTAAATATATTTTGACTTCTGTTATGATTATTCAAATTGTTGACCCTCTATGGAGTAGGTTCCGTAGGAATGGGCCAATATTGTCAATTTCTTATCGGACCTAAATAAATATGATATAAATATGGCGGTGTGTCGGCTTTGGGCTATATTGATTATTTCCTTCACTTCACCTCACTTCACAATTTTGAGAAAATGTGTGTAAGGTACCACATATAGTCGACTGAAGTATTCCACCTTCATATTTCATCTAATGCCGATAACAATATTGGTATGGGCAACATTACAAGAATATCGAACATTTATATCCAATTTTATGCGGTATCATAAATTCCATATTAATCTCAGATTTTGGGCTGAGAGAAATATTTAGGCAAGGCAAGTTGTAAAGAATCGCTGACTTGTTTCGGAAATTTTGACAGATAAATGAATTGAAAATTGTCACCCTTTGTGTGTGAGGTACCAGAAGGGGTTCGCAGATACCTAGCATCTTTACAACAGATTTTGTGTTAGCAAAAATGTTTTTAAAAGTGAAATTTGAAGAGTGTTGGATGCTTATTTCGCTTTCTTTGAGCGTTTTGTTTTACAAAATCTTGAACCCTATGTGGGGGAGGTACCAGAAGAATTGTTTCGATCTCTACCATCTTATAACATATCTAGTGTGGAGAGATATATTGAGATGTGCCAAGTCTGAATGGCATCGGATGTTAATTTCGAGTATTATGAGTTTCATGGATATTCAAGATTTTGAACATTTGTGGGGGAGGTACCAAATGGAGTGAACTGTTATACTCCATCTTCACAACAGACATTGGTTTAATAAAAATGTTGTGATGCGTGTAATTTGAAAACAATCGGATTATTCAAAAAGTTGACCCTTTGTGGAGATGTACTTGATGGAGTGGACCGACATTGGCTATTTTTACACCAGACCTAGCACTGATGCAATTATATGGATTTGCAGAGTTGGAGCAAAATCGGATCATCCTTTCTCTTTCTGTGCAGAAAATATTTTTTTTTGAAAATTTCCACATTTTGTGGGGGAGGTACCAGAAGGAGTGGACCGATTTTGCCCACCTCCGAAGTCGAAGCTGATATTTTGGAATTTTGTATTGGGGTCCCTGTTGGTAGTAGGTGTGTAATAAAGAGGTGAATTTGGAAATGGGTACTACAAGTGCTCGAAAAGTACTCAAGGGGACTATATTTGGTACAATTTGGTATTGGGTGAAGATATAGTGCTTGAAATCTGTTAAAGCCGCTGTTCATGTGTAGCCTGGACATATGGCGGTGGTTTCGGAAATGTGTACTATATTTGTACCAAAAGTACTGAATAGTACTATATTTGGTATTAAGTCAAGTGATCGAGAAAAAATTCTGAAAATTGATATTTTTATTACTGATGATATCTGTTTATGAGATTAGGTGGTGGTCTGGAAATGCTTCCCCATATTAGTACGAAAAGTACTGAATGGTACTATATTTGGTATTCGGTTACGAGATAGGGCTGGAATATCGAAATTTGATATTGAGGTCTGTGGTTTTGGATATGTGTACTATATTTGTACGTAAAGTACTAAATGGAACTAAATTTGGTATTGGGTGAAGGAATAGAGCTGAAATCCAGAAATTTGAAATAAATGCCACTGTTGGCACTGTATCTGTACGAAATGAACTAAATGGTATTTCATTTTGTATTGGGTGAAAGGATGTGGCTGGGGATATTGAGGTCTCTGTCGGTATCTCGATTGAGATATGGAAATTGTTTTGAAAATGTGTACTTTAATTGTGCGAAAAGTACTAAATAGTCCTATATTTTGTATTGAGTGTATCTATAGAGTTGGAATCCCGAAATTTGATGTTGAGGTATCTCTCTTGATATCTGGTGTTGAGATATGGAGGTGGTTTTGGAAATATGTACTATAGTTGTACAAAATGGTACTAAATTTGGCGACGGGGGAAATTACAGAGCTGAAATCCTAAAATTTGATATTAAGATTACTGTTGGTATCTGAGGTTGAGATATGAAGATTATTCTAAAAATGCGTTCTATAATTGTTCGAAAAGTACTAAATTTGGTATTCGGTGAAGGGATGGGGTTGAAACCCTCAAATTTGATATTAAGGTCGATGTTGGTATTTGGGATTGCCATATGGAACTGGTTTTGGAAATGTGTACTATAATTGTACGCAAAGTACTAAGTGGAACAAAATTGGGTATTGTGTGAAGGGATAGGGCTGAAATTCTGAAATTTGATATTGAGGCCTCTGTTGGTATCTGGAATTGAGATATATAGGTGGTTTTGAAAATGTGTTGTTCGAAAAGTACTAAATAGTACAAAATTTGGATCACTGTTGGCGTTTAGGATGGATAGATGCAGATTATTTTTGATATGCGCACTAAATGTTACTATTGGATGAAGGGAGGCCACTTTTTGTTTCGAGGGATTCCATATGCAGACCTCGAAATAGTTTTGGATTGAGGACACTTTTGGTTTTGAGGGTTTCCATACAGAGACCTCGGAAAGGTTTGATGTGGGTCAAAAACCTCAAAATCAAATATTTTGAAGACTTTTTGATGTAAAAAATAAACAATTTTTCCATTGTTCTTTCCCTCTCTCTTCCAGACTCTTCCAGACTGAACCTCGAGCCATTTTCCATAGATTGTACAGGTACCGGCACCGCTGTACCTATTCAAATTTCCCATACGGTAAATTCAAATGTAAACTCTTGTGTTTTTGTTGTTGGTGGTGTTGGCATTCAAGTAAGGCCCAAGAGCGTTTACTACAAAACCCATTGAATGTTTCTGTTGGTTGTAGTCGGTGCTGTTATTGTTATTGTTATTTTGTTTTTTTGTACTTTATATTCCGTACTTAGTGGTGGAGTGCTAAAAAGCTTGAATCACCGTAATTCAGACAAGCCGAGCTAAACAGACACACAAATATGCTGAGCTGAGTCGAGTCAGTTAACAAAAGACGGCAGAGTTAAGGCTGGAGCTGAAGTCGCAATCCATGCTAAGTTGGCTGCTAACTTTGCTGCTGCTGCTGGTACTGGCGCTGGATGTCTGGCTCTGTGGCTTGAATGGATGAATGGTTGGCGGCAGAGCCACTTGCATGAGGTATGTGTATTTTAAATGTTTTTTTCTACTGCTGTTGTTGTTGTTGTTGGTGGTGTTGGTTTTTGTCGCGTTTTAATATTTTTTCGGCTGAGCTTAAGCGACCGCGCGCGCTCGGAACATTTGGTAAGGCCGACAGACAACAACTGTTGTCGGTTTCAGTTAACGACGTGATACTGAACTGAACTGAATGAGAACTGAAAACGCGCACCTTCGCCTCCGAAAAAATAACAAAAGAAAAAAAAACACGCCAAACAAAAACAAAAGAATTTCGACCCCAACGTATCGAAGGAAAAAAATTGAAAAAAGAAATATTTCAAAGGCAACAATTAAAAAAATTCAATTCAGAATTATTACAGCAATCATTTGAGAAAATTTGCAAAGAAAAATCATTCGTGTTGTGGCACAGTGTTCCGAAAACGAAATTTATGTGCTGTGTTTTCCCAGTGCCCTCGAATTCCTGTCACATTTTCCGGTTGTCCATTGAAAAGTGCAAATTTTGTGTTACATTCCGAGAGTGGCGCCCAACGTGTTGTGTGTTATTGTTGACTACATGAAAGTCATCCCAAGTGGAGTTGTAAATCCTGATTGCGCGTGTGTGTGAGAGCCATAAAATAGTCCATAACTTCCAAAGCAATCAAGTATTTCACACTTATATCTGTCGTGCAGTGAGTGTGGCTGTGTGAGATCTTAGCCTAGCGCCAGTCTATGAAAGAAAATCAATGAAAAATCTACTCTTCTTACACTTGTTTTTCGTGAAAACGTACCCAAAGAAGCAGGTCTCAAGATAAATAACGAAAATCAAAACAAAAAGTATTTTTTTCGAAATTAATTCATCACGATTCAGAAAAAAGGCCTATAAACGCATCGAAGAGAAATTACTTATCTAGAAGAAGAAACAACGAAACAGCACAGTAAAATAAAATAATTGATGCATAGCTCTCTCTGTACTCGCGTGCGCGTGTGTGTGCGTCTGTGTGAAAGTGTTACATAAAAAAGTGTGTAAATATTCCAAAGCAAAAAATAAATATCCAAAACTCAACGTAGAAATCCACACATCCAATATTCGGCTATCGATCATTAAAATATTCAACTTCTTTCTGCTGGCTGTTGCTGCACCTGCTGTTTTTGTTGTTGCTGTTGCTGCTGTTATTTAGCATTACCGCTTTCTTGGGATTATCTAATTGACCACCGAAAACAGAAACCAAAAAAAAAGATCAAACAGGTAATTAAACACCAATAGCTCGAGATATTTATCGCTGTGCTGACGAAACTTATGTTTTTGGTCATAATGGACCAGATCACACATGCACACATGCTTACATATATTCGATTCGTAGCAATTCCCAGTATAATTAAATATTAGTTAAGTGCCAAAGCTTGAAAGGAAACATTAAATATTTGTCAATATTTTCGGGTGTAGGGAAATTCGACGGGTATATTGGGGTGGTTCGAAAGTGAAATTTTTTAATATTTAGGAAATTATTGAATTCCACTATTTTTCAATCATTCAAAGACAATGTGTAGTTTAGTTTAATAAAGAATTGACAGTATAGAGGATTTGTATACCCTCCAGCATAGTATGGAGGGTATATTAAGTTTGTCGTTCCGTTTGTAACACCTGGAAACATACATTTTAGACCCCACAAAGTATATATATTCTTGATCAGCATAAAATTCTGTGTCGATTTAGCGATGTCCGTCCGTCTATCCGCATGTCCGTGTGTCCTTCTGTGGAAATCACTTTGGCTTCCGAAGGAATTGAAGATTGATAAAATTTTATTTAAATGTATGTTATGTCTGCAGGACTTTTGGTATTGAAAATGGGCCATGTAGGTCCACGTTTTGGTATAGCCCCCATATAACGGTACCTCCCGATATTTGGTATTTTGATGGTTTTAGCGACACCATTCACCGGAATTGTTTGATATTTGGATACTACAGCCTATGACAGAAAATGGTCTATGCAGGTCCACGTGTTCGTATAGCCCCCATAGAAGGGTACCTTCTGATATTCGGTATTTTGATGATTTTAGCTACATTATTCACCGATTTTTATACCCTCCACATTGGAAAGGCGGGTATATTAACTTTGTCATTCCGTTTGTAACATCCTTAAATATTCGTCGTGGACCCCATAAAGTATATATATATTCATAATCAGCATAAAATTCTAAGTCGATTTAACGATGTCCGTCTGTCTGTCCGTCTGTCTGTTGAAATCATGATACAGCCCACATTATTCGACGTAGAGCGCCAAAATTTAGCAGAGCAATTTGTATTGTGTCTAGAATGGTTGGTATTGAAAATGAGATATATCGATCTACGTTCTGGTATAGTCCCCATATAACTGTACCTCCCTATATTCGGTATTTTGATGATTTATGCCACATTTTTTCACAGATTTGTTTGAAAATTGTTATTTGTAGGTTATAACGGGTCCCTGTACGTGTGGCAAAACATGGTATGTATAGGTCCACGTTTTGGTATAGCCCCCATATAAAGGTACCTCCCGATATTCGGTATTTTGATTATTACATTTCTTCTAATGTTTCCTTTACCCTAAGGTGGAGGGTATTAAAAGTTTGGCCCGGCCGAACTTAATGTTTTTTTACTTGTTTGGTTAAGTTTTGCATTTGAATATTGTAATGGCTTATGACAAATGTTACCTATGCAGGACCATGTCGTCGTATAGACCCTAATATAACAGCTACAATCGTTATTTTTAAGATTTTAACACAATTTTTAACGGTTTTTATTGTTTTTGAGAATTGCCAAACTCATTACAAATGGTAGACGATATTTAAAGTTCGGCCCAGCCAAACTTACAGCTTTATACTTGTTTTTTTTCTATTATTTTTTTTTTGTGAATGAACAGGATTGGGATTTCTTAAAAAAAAATTTTTTTTTAATTTTTTTAATATTTTCCGACTGTATTTTTATAGCCTACACCACATAGTGGTAAGGGTATTATGCATTTGTTTGTAACATGAAGAAGGAAGCGAGATAGACCCATTGTTACTTTTGGGGATCTTCATAGAATCACTTTCTGAGTGGGATAATGCATGTCAGTCCGTCTGTCCGTCCGTACGTCCATGTATTTTTCTGAACAAAATGCAGGTCGCATTTATTATTCGATTGTGATGAAATTTTCCAAACAATAATTTTTTGCCCCAGGGACGAACTCCATTGAAATTGGTTCAAATTTTGATATAGCTCCCATATACATCTTCAACCGATTTCGGGTTAATTGTGGACCAAATGACCAATATCAGTCCAAATGACCTGAATTTTGGCAATTCCGACCGATGGTGGAAATCGGATCAGATATATCTATAGCTCCCATATATACGTTTCATCCGATTTGGTGTTTAAGTCCCTTACATGCGTTATATGCACTTCAGAAGAATGATATTTGGTACCGGACATCAGATACTGCTCGAAAATACCTCTGTCAAATTTTATCGAGATCGGATAAGATAAGAATAAAGCTCTTAAACCGATATCAAGTTCTTGGTGCACCAAATGCCTAATATCAGCCCAAATGGACCGAATTTTGGCAATTCCGAATGAATTCATCCTAAAAACAAGTACTTCAAATTTAGTGCAAATGGGTACAGATATAGCTATAGCTCCCATGTATGTGTTTTATCCGACTTGGGGTTGAAAGTCCCTCACATACGTAATATGTACTCCATGAGAACAATATATGGTACCAGATATTCAATACAGATCTGAAATAAGTGTGCCAAATTTTTTAAACAGCGGTTCAGATTTGGGTATAGCTCCCATATATATAGTAAACCGATTTCGGGTTAATTGATCACCAAATAGCCAATATCAGTCCAAATGATCTTAATTTTGGCATATCCGACCGAATTCGGCCTAGCAGCAAGTACATTAAAATTTGGTTAGAATGGTTACAAAAAGAGGTTTCTCTCTTAATTTCTAGCGCATAATGGCCACCAAAATCTCCAGATACCAATCCGTTGGACTATTGTGTCTGAATTATTTTGGAAAGCAGGGTTGGCACTAAAAAATACCATAGTATCGATCACCTCAAGTAAGCGCTTCGCCGGAAATGGGCCAAAATACCGCAGAGCAACATTCGGGCATCCTGTGTTTCATTAGCATTTGAAGGCTATAATTGGTGCCAAAGGTGACCAATTTGAATAAATCTAAACTTATTCTAAAATTTGATGCTATTCCCGACATTTTTTGCTTTCATTCAATAAAATTTAGAAGAAAAAATAAAAATTATGGCGTGTGACTTTGTTGCTATTTTTTATCTCACCCTATGTATTTTCAAAGCAAGTGTAAGGAAAGTTTGATATTCTTTTGAAGGACTTTAGGACTATAATATTTAGGATTTTCGATTATTCCTGATGAAATTTCTGAGTTGAAAAAGGGATTTTTCTAAAATTATTTGTAAAATTTTTTTTTTAGTCATTTGAAGCGTTTTAAATAATATCGATTTTTTGAAATATTTCTTGAGGCAACATTAAATCAGTGAATGAGAATAGTTTGAGATTCCCGATTTTAAAAGGAAAATAATTTACAAACAAAATAGAAATTTTTAAAGGATTTAAAATACATTTTTTGTGTGGATTTTAAGGGCACAAAAATTGGATTTTTAAATGGGCTTCTGAAAAAAATATAAAAATATATAAATATAATATTTATAAAATATATATTTCTTTTAGAATACTTTCTAAAAATATCTCATTGCTATATGATGATTTTCGGTTCAAAATGTTAGCTGACCAGAAAAACGATGTTTACATTGACAGGTAATTACTTGTGGACTTTGCTAGCTGAAGCTTCTTTCTATACAGAGGATCTTCAAAGCCATTTCAGTACAACATGTTTATTTTACTCTTCTTTTCAATGTTACATGGCTACACTTTTCATAACCTACAATTATGGCCAGCATTTATGTACAACTTTATAACTTTCTTGATAGCCTTGTCCGGCGGGGACCTTAACACCTGTCACATTTAGTTCGAGCTTTGGTGCTCAGAAAAGTTCAAAAAAGCCTTCCGCCAAAGTAGTTGTTAAATTCTTATTACATTGTTTTTATTTTATTTTATTTTATTTTATTTACATTTAAATGAGAAATAAAATAAAACGCAACGAAAGAAACGTGTTTTTGAGCGTCTTCTACTTCTTCGTTGTCCTCACCGTCATCATCATGGTCTTCTGAAGCGCCGAACATAAACAATACTGACTGCTTTTTTTTGTAATTTTTGAAGGCAACATAAATCCATTTAATGGCCATAAACAGACAAAAAAAGATACAAACGTTGTGGCGCTGCTTCAACGCAGATGAAGTAGAAAAAAGAAGAAGAAGAACATATCTTTGTCATGTTATTTTGGAAGTTGGGGTTTTTTTTTAGTAGTTTTTGAATGCCAAACAACAACAAGAAATTTTACAAAAAAAATATTAACTCGAAACAGGTTTATTTGGCATCTGTGGAAAAACTTCCAGCCATTCTGCCAGCCACTTAGTCTCAAATATTCAGACCGGCAGGCCACATGCCTTTATGGCTAAGGGGCAGAACGTCGAGTAATTGCAGCACACACGTCCTTACTCACCAATTGTCCGTCGAAATATTTTGTTAGTTTGCGGGAGGCGATGGGATTTTATAATTTAAAGATTGCCATTCGGGTTACTTGAATTTGAGATTCCTACAAAAGTTTGAAGAAAATAAAAGTTAAAGCGGAAAAATAAAATACATAATGATAAAAAACTGCAACAAAGTCAAACGCCATAATTTTTACATTTTTTTTTAATTTTATTGAATGAAAGCAAAACATTTTGGAAATAGCATCACATTTTAGAATAAGTTTAGATTTGTTCGAATTTGTAACCTTGGCACGAATTATGGCCTTCAAACGGCCAATGAAGCCGTCACACGCTGCCCGAAAGTTGCTTTGCGGTATTTTGGCCCATTCCCGACGAAGCGCTTGCTTGATGTGATCGACACTATGGTATTTTTTAGTGCCAACCTTGCTTTCCAATACACTCCAGACAATGGATTAGTATCCGGAGACTTTGGTAGCCATTGTGCGCGAGGCAACTCTTTAGCTCTTTTGAGTCTATTTTTTTCTGTTGCGGTGTAAGTACTTGCGCTTTTTGGAATTTCAATGGCTTTACCCCGAGCTCATTTTTCATTATTTGCCGAATGGAATATTGCGATAAATTATTATTTTATTTTAAGAATA